ATATATATATATCTAAAGAGCAGCAAAGCAACACAAGGAAGATGATATCACTTACGTAAATATCAAAAGCAATGGCCAAATCATCTGTGACGCAACCAATAAATATATACGTGTGTTTATGTTTGCGTGGTCTGCCTATTTACACTATTTCCAGAAGGTTGTTCGACCGTATTTATAGTTGGTATATTGCCAAAAAAATTTCTGTTATTTAATCGTTTTTTCTTTTCAGGAATATTCAATTCTATTTTTACAGCTCAGTATTAATTTTGATAATCGACAACGAACCAACCGATAAAGACGGCACAGGTGTCGGCAGCGAAAAAGACGTCTTTCTGTCATTGTAAAGTTTACAAATTTTTTTTTTTTTTCTGCAGTTTTTCCCTATTTACCAAAATAAACTTTTAGCATGAAAATAGTCGGGAAAAAAAGCTGAGCAAATTGAAACACATCACTTGGGTTTTGTGTGGTATGTGAGAAGAAAAAATGTGTGGCATAAAAACATTATGATTTGTATTCAAGTTCAATCAGTGTAATTGGTGACAGTCATCAGTCGTCTTTCTCTTCATAAATAAATGTTAAAATAAAAATGTATGGAATAATGAGAAGGGCGCAGAGAGGGAAGGGGAACTGATCCTTATTTTGTAGTAATAAATTATTTATTGGCTGACGATTTCAAGGTTAATGGTTACCATTATACAAAAATCACGTCCCCAGCATCCAATGATCTGAAAAAATAGTTCTTCATATTTATATCACTGTCTCATCTTGCTTTTTCTACTTTCTTTTCTTTTGGCACAGTAGCAATAAGTTTTTTGTCTGATTTAGCAGCATTAAGGGCATTTTATTCTTCATGTGATAGTGTTGGAGAGATGATTAAAAAAAAAAGGTAAAAATTGAGCTTGCAATTATGCAAGAAAAGTAAGCTTTTATTTTTAACAGTGAAGTGTGCGAGAAAAATATCTTGATTAGCAAGTTTTTTGAACGCCGCAGGGCAGCAAAATTTTTTTGGTTACATGATACCATTTTTGTTAATTCGAGACTACTATGTTGCATAGACGTTGGTTTCTTTATGTTGTATCCAGTTGCTGTTTACAGGTGGCTTTTTCTGAAATTACTTCTGATGGATTAGACGAAAAACTGAAGCTGGCCAGGTAAATACTTTTAATTCAACTTTTTTTTTTTTTTTCTGTAGCTTCTTTCATTTTATAATGCCGGCACTGAAAAATTAACACTTTTTTTGAGACCATTATTATAACCGTCTGCTTTTTTATTCTTGATACTACTTCTTGTCTTTTTGTTTAAGACACTACGCCAACTGCTTTCCAACGTTTTGCTGTTCCTGATCAGTTACATTTACTCATTCTTATTTAATGTTATTGGATAAACAAGAAGAAATTAATTGGTATTTTTGTTGTAGGAATCCAAATTAGTAGAAAATTAAAGGAAATTTACTTTAGGAACATATAGTTC